TTAGGGCTCTGTCTCTACACATACAGGGAATAGGGTTTAGTTAAGTCTCTATATATATAGAACAGTACATCCACTTAGGGTTTTGAGAATACACAAACCCTATTCACGTACCAAAGATACAGAGGTAACAGAGACTTGTGAGGGAACTGAGCAAGAGAAAACAGAACAAGGCTTAGGAGGAGAACAGAGAGGACCAAGGGAGAGTTGTGGTGGATTAAACCAAAACCATAGGAAGCTTGAAGGTGGTCAGTGTTTGCTGGAAATTAGGAAGACGGTGACAAAGTTTTGAGACCAAAACTGCTGACAAGTTCTTTTACTTTCTCTTCCCCTTTGGCTCGTGTTCTATGCACCTAGGTGGTCTCTAAGGTTAAATAAATCATAAACTAGAACTTACATGTTTATTGTATGATTTATTGATGCTTTGTTTGTGTTGTAATCGAATCTTTTACAAATTTGTGCCTGATTGTTTCAAGTTTTGTTCCTTAGAGCATGTTAATCCGGTTGTAATTTTAGTTATTATACTTGCTTGCAACTACTGTAAATAAGTCATGGGGATGATTTTAGGCTTACATAAGGTTCTTAGAAGGCCCACCTGTTTAGAGCCGGCTCCAAGCTTGTATGGAGCCGGCTCAATGCTGATTTGAGCCTGCTCTAAATTTTTTTAGAGCAGGCTCTTTCCAATTTGATGCGTACTATGATTTTTCAGCTACTGTTTGGGCACTTGGGGTTTCTGAACAGTTTTAAAACTTTAATGGGGTTTTTAATAATTAATTTAACATATAATCAAGGTCTTGAATTTCATAAAATACCCCCTTTGTTTTAATAGAATTAACAGTGCGCTAATTAACGACTTTACATGCTGTTAACGGCAGGAAGGAAATTTATTGCCTAATTTTAATTTGACAATTGAAGGTGCTATAACATGATCCTAAATTAAGTTTTAAATGCACGGTGAAGTCTTTTAATTTACGAATTGGACTTGCGGCATAGTGCATGGCTCTATGCTAAAAGATAAAACAAAATACAAGTATACAACATAGTACGCTGTTACCGGATGGAAAGAACTAAATTGCTTAAATTAATTTAGTAATTTATTGGACTATAGTATGATTATAGAATTTATTTTGAATGCATAAATGAGTCATTGATATAATAGATTTGATCCATACATGCTTCGGATGCTAGTTGTGGAACTATTAAACCGTTTCCTGCAATTACAAAGTTTAACTCTTGAATTTAAATTGCTAAAACTTTAAACACTTTTTTGCAATGATTTGGATATTGGTTTTGGACTGTAAATTACTAGCTTATTATTTATGTGTCGTAATTTACATGGATATGGAGGATTGTATGCACCGGTATGGGATGGTGACATACTAGGGATGGTTTAGCTCAAAACGCTTAAACTTAACCTATCGGATTAAAGGAATGGATTGGAAAATATTGAATCCTAACTGTGACTAAGTCAGATCAACTGTGACTAAGTTAATTGGCTTCCTGGATTAATGGATGGAGGTTAAGCCATATCAACTGAATAAGTTGAGTGACTAACTAGTATGTTTTGTATGTCTCCTCAAAAAATAATTGAATGACATATTATGGTTTTGGATGGATTTTAGATATATGATTATGGTACCACAATATGAGCTTGAGTCTCAGTGTCATTGGTTAGGGTGCGTATATGCAGTGGATGTGTAGCTGGATATAGTAGGTAGGTGTACCCTGTTAGGTCTAGGTACTCATGCCCACCCTTGGGTGCGTTTTCGCATATTGCCTTCTATTCAGGTTGAAACCCCTACTGTAGTCCAGTGAATGTCCCTCAGTGTGGATATATATATATATATATATATATATATATATATATATATATATATATATGTATGTATGGACTTGATAGATATTGTGAGGTATCTATAATGTATCTGCGTATCGGGTCACTGTATGGATTGTAGTTAGTTTAGAACTTGCTCGTGGGTCTGACCCACTCTTCTATTATTCTTTTCAGGTACAGGACGGTTCCAGCCTTAGAACTTGATCGTGCTGTTCGATGACAGTTTCCATTCGTCAGATTACGTAGGACTTCTCACGATATTTCAATTTTATTTACTTTCAGTTTTCAGTTTAGTTGGGATTTTATTTAGGGGTCCACTAGATGGATTTCCGAGTTGTAATCATGGAGGTTTTGGATGTTGGATTTTATTAAGTTTTCTCGGTTGAGGATTCTACATTAGTATTCATTTCAGCTTTTAATATTTATTCTTATTTCATTTTATCATCTGTGTTCGTTATAAAATATTTATTGTTTGATATTCCCTCGGGTTTGGGCCTGGGCCTGATCAACCCGCGTCTCAGATTCGAGTGGTATCACAATTACTTAGTGCAAACATTTCATTTGTTGGTTTTAAATGGAAGAAAAGGTTGCACAATCTGACATTGGCTTCATTAAATGATACATCAGAAAGAAATACTCTCCTCTGTAATGGATTGTGCGCGGTTTGGAGGCGACAATAGGATGGTGTAAATAGTTGACCTCGTGCACTGGAGTTTTCTCTCAGGAGGTTGTTTGCTTGTGATGTTTTCCTTATTGGAAGCAAGGAGTTTTTGAAGAAAAGTCAGTTTTATGTATTAAATTGCCTTTTTACGGAATGTGTTTATAAATTTAAGTGGTAGCCTATAATTTAGCGTTACCAAAACGCTAGTGTTGGGTGCATAAAAGTTTTGCAAATCTATGCTATTGAATTTGGTGGCATATGGTTTATACCCAGTTATAAATATTGGGTAAGGATGAGTTGATGTTACCTACAACCTACGTGTCATATATTTTTGTGTTTCTTAAATATAGGAACCATTAAGTTTCTAGGAGGAGTTGGGATTCAGTTGAGCCCATACACAGAGGCAGCGTCCCCAACAGAACGGAAATGAAAAAGAATTCAGAGTTTCGTGAATTCCGAGGACATAATTCCTTTTGTTAGGGGGGAAGAATGTAAGACCCTTAGTTTTCAAAATGATATAATTGAAATTTAATTTTTATTTCTTGTGTATTTTAATGGATTATGTGGCTATGTAGTTATGTGGCTTGATGGTATGTGTTTAATTAAATTAATTGTTTGATTATTTGGCTAATTGTTAATTGTTTATATTAATTGTTAATTGTTTAATTGTTTGATTATTAGATTATTATTATTAATTAATTATTTTAATGTTAATAATAGTAATATTATGTTAGGGGATTATATATATATATATATATATATATATATATATATATATATATATATTTGGTGATCACGTATAGGGCAGTATATGTATTTGTAATTGTATTTTTTCTTTTCTTTTCTTTTCTTTTCTTTTGTGTTAGCCAATTTAATAGGGTTGGGATTAGGGTTGTATAAACCTATATATATGTAAGGTTGTGTCTGCCAAGGGTTTTAGAACCTTGTTCACGTATCAGTGGAGGTAGGGAAAAATACAGAGAGGTTTGAGAGAAACTAAGAGGATCAGTTGGGGTTTTAGCCGTAGATTGAAGGTTGGACCAAGGAGGAAGGAATGGGGTTTCTTGTGGGTTAAACCAGGAGCAGTAGACGGCAGTTAAGGACGACAACTAAGGATTCGTCTGAAATATTAGAGAAGACGGTTTAAGGTTTAAAAACTGAAACCAAAGACAATTTCTATATCTTGCTCTTTTCCTTTGACCTGTGTTCTATGCATGCCTAGATAGTCTCCAGGAACTAAACGGACATTAAAATTGATTAAGTATGCATGTGATTCAGAGTTTAAACCATTGTTACATGTTGATAATTGTAATTGAGTTATTGTATCAATTGTTTCGTATTATGTATGCTGTTGTTGTTTATGATGCATACTATGTTTTAAAAGTTTCTGAGATAGTTATGGAACATAGAAAGACCTCTGGGAACCTAAACAAAACATTACAGAGAGATTTAATCATTGTCGGAGGCGAAGAAGATGATGGAAAACAGGGACAGAGTCGGCTCCCAAAGGGATAGAGCCGACTCCCTTTATTTTTTTTTTAGTCGGCCGCTCTCTGTAAGAGAAAGAGCTGGCTCCCCAAAGGAGGGAGCCAACTTACATATGAGCAGTGCATTGATAAGGTTGCAAAGATAGCTTATGGGGAGGTTACATTTTATCATGTAGGGACTGATGGAGGCTTGAGGTGCAAAAGGCGTTTAGTAGTACATTCTGCTGACGATTTGAGGAAGGATGTGATGATTGAGACTCACCAGTCTGAGTTTTCTATTCATCTAGGCGGAGATAAGATGTATCAGGATATGAAATGGCAGTTTTGGAGGGCAGGTATAAAGAAGGACACTGCTATCTTTGTCTCTAAGTGTAATATTTTCCAGATGGTCAAGATCGATCACCATAGACCGCTAGGTTCTTTATAGCCACTACCTATACCAGAGTGGAAATGGGAGAGCATTTCTATGGATTTTGTGGAGGGATTGCCTAATTCGTTCAAGAATCACAATTCCATTTGGGTCATCGTCGATAGGTTGACCAAATCAGCTCATTTCTTGCCTATTAGCACTGATTACACTTTGGAATAGTTGGCGAGACTTTACATTATAGAGATTGTGAAGTTGCAAGGCATTCCGTTATCTATTATATCGGATAGGGATTCGAGCTTTATGTCAGGATTTTGGAAGAGTTTTCAGTAGGCTTTAGGTACAGAGTTACATCTTAGCACTGCTTATCATCCTTAGACTGATGGACAGACCGAGAGGGTTAATCAAATAATGGAGGATATGCTTCGTTCTTGTGTTCTTGACTTTAAGGGCCACTGGGTGGAGTATTTGCAACTTGTGGGGTTCGCATATAACAATAGCTTTCAAAAGACTATTGGTATGGCACCATTTGAGGCATTATATGGCTGACCATGTAGATCTCCTATTTGTTGGATGGAGGTTGGAGAGAACAGATTTTTGGGTCCTGAGTTCATTAAGGACACCTCTGAAAAGATCGCTTTTATTAGGGATCGTATGCGCACTGCCCGGAGTAGGCAGAAGAGTTATACAGATCATCGTACTCGTACATTGGAGTTTCAGGTTGGAGATCAGGTTCTACTTAAAGTGTTTCCCATGAATGGAGTAATGCGCTTTGGGAAGAAAGGGAACTTGTCACCGCGTTTTATTGGTCCTTTCATGATTATGAATCGGGTTGGAGCTGTAGTTTATCGGTTAGCACTTTTGGATCACTTGCATCACGTCCACAATGTTTTTCATGTTTCCATGTGGCGAAAATTTTTACGAGATGAGGATCGTTATCAGCATATGGATGTGGGTGATATTGAGTTGCAACCAGATGCAACATATGTGAAGCCACCGTGTCGCATTATAGATCGTAAGGATCATGTTCTTCGTCATAAGGTCATATCGTTAGTACATGTCCAGTGGAGTCACCAAAATGAGGCTGAGTCTACTTGGGAATGAGAGGATGTCATTCACTCACAGTTTCAAGATATAATGGATGCAGGTAAGAGCGAATTCCGAGGACGGAATTCCTTTTGTTAGGGGGAAAGAATGTAATACCCCTAATTTCAAAAGGATAGTCTCGGTATTATTTTAATTGTATTAATTATTTAATTTTTTTGGCTAATTGTTTACTTGTTTAATTGATTTAATTATTTATGTGTCAATTGAATTATTTGTTTAAATAAAATTGTGTGCTAAAACGTATATTTGATTTCTTTGTTTAAATAAAATTGTGTGATGATATGTATTTGTTTAGGAATTTAATTGTTTTGTTTTATTTCTATTTTTATATATTTTTAAGGAATTGGATATGGATAGTAGTAATGGAATAATTAATTGGATCCCATGGACTACTTGGATAAAGGGTTTAATGGGTACGGATAATTATCCATGGATAGTTGTACATGTATATATAATAAATAAATAAATAAATATAAATATATATATATATATATATATATATATATATATATATATATTATGAAAGTCATTTAGTAATAATCTGATGTATATTTATATATTATATATAAAAAGGAATATACATAGATTATACATAACATATATTTTAGTTACCTTTTTAGTATTTAAAATTTTTTTTTAATTAGTTTGACTTGGATTAGGAAAAGGAGTAGAGTTATCATTTAGCCTATAAATATATAATTATAGGGTTGGAAAAGGTGGCTAGAAATATATCACGTAATATATTTTAGAGAGAGAAAGAAGGAAGAGAAATAGGAAGAAGGAGGCTAGGGTTTTTTTTTTTTTTTTTTTTTTTATCAAATCTCTAAAGGCAAGTTTTAATTATTCTCTTCTACTTTGATTCATACCCTATGCATGCTAGATTAATTCTAGGTTCTTTAAATAAATTAATTGAATCCGATTACATGGATTAATTTAGAAATTACAATTCATGTATTTTAATAATGGATTTTAAATTTTTCTTTCTTCTGCTGAACTGGATATTTTTTATTATTTGTGTTCTTTTTTTTTTTTTCTTTTTTTTTCTGTTAAGCATGATTCAGTGTATTGTCTTCATGCATGCCGAACAAGGAACACTCCAATAATAAAACAATTTGTGTATATGTAGTAAATTAGATGTTGTGTTGCATTAAATAAATTTTTATATTATTCTAACCATTGCTGGAACACGCTGAATGAGGAAGGAAAACATTAGCATCAGTTTTGTTAAATTGAAATTTCAATCTCATTACTTCCATAAGCCTACACGCCACACGAGGAAAAATTAAAGCAATACAAACAAATGGTATGTATCAGTTTTGTTTTTTTTTTTTTTTTAATTGAAGTTTTATTGTTTTCATAAGGCCTACACGCTACCTGAGGAGGAAAAAAACAATAAGTACAAACTGATATGCTTATGTGTTAGGAATGAATTAGTTATATTAAAAAAAATAATTATCAGAATTATTATTTTTTATGGGGTAAATTAAATGCCTATATTTAGAATTATTATTTTTCTGTTTGGTACTCAATTAAATGAATTGATGTTTATATGATAGATATCATGTTTACTTTGACTATTTGATAAAAATAATAATAACAATAATAAGGCATCTTTATAATGATATAAAAACCTTTATTTGGTTATGATATGGATTAACGCATCATTATGGGATAGGAACATATTAGGGACGGATTAACTTAAGAGTTAAGTCCTATTTATTTTTAATAAGGGAACGGATTAACTATAGAGTTAAGTCCTACTTATTCCTGTCAGGTCAATTGAATAGTTGGATGACATATTATTTAAATAATATTTGGATAGTTTATTTTGATAGGTGGAAAGGACGGATTTTACATATATAATTGTATGCCATGATATGAGCTTAAGTCTTAGAATCAGTGATTAAGGTGCGTATATTGTCAGGAATGTGTAGCTAGATATAGTGTAGTTATGTACCCTGGTAGGTCTAGGTACTCATGCCCACTATATGTGTATTTTGCATGTTGCCTATTATTCAGGTTGAGACAACTATATAGTCTAGTGAGGTTCCTTTAGTGTGTGTGTATATATATATATGGATTATTTAGTTATTGTTGAATTAATTAGGATGTGTACATGTACCGGATCTCTGTTTGGGATGTAGTAGATTAGAACTTATATATGAGCCTGACCCACCATTATTTTTTCAGGTGTTCGTCTGTTCCAGTCTTAGAAATTGTTTGTGCCGAGCAGAGACAGTCATTCACTCTTCCGACTCTACGTATGACTCTTCTTCATGTTTTAGTTATTAGTTTTATTTCAGTTCAGTTATTTTAGTTAGGATATTATTAGGGGTCTACAGTATGGATTCCCGAATTGTAGTTTAATTAATTGCTAGTATCTGAGGATTGAAGGATTTTATTATTGAATTTTTAATTATTATTTATTTAAGAATTTTTTTTAAATAATGATTTATTATTTAGTTCCCTTCAGCTTATTATTTATTTATTATTCTTTTTGTATTCAAACGCTTGTTAAATGTTAATTATTTGATATCCCTTGTATTCTGTGTTCAGACTTGATTACCCATGGCTCTAGAATCGAGGGGTATCACAAAGTCGCAAAGCCAGAGAATTGTCAACAATTTGTGTTTAGTAGAACGATAGGGTGTGAGCCAGAGTTAAAGTTCGGTGTACTTTATTTCAAACATAGTGGATCAGTTTACTTTAGCTGAATAGTCCACGAGGTTTTTCCCATACAAATAGTTGACGTATTTTATCAACTGGGGTTTCTCTCTAAAATCCTGGTACAATCTCTCTAACTCTAACTTGTTTTACTTTACATATATTTGTGATTGTAGATGTTTAAATTGATCACATAATCTAATTAATCATAAATTGAGCATATTGACCTAATAATTAGATCTAGGTCGTTAAAGGAGTTAATCACAATTAAATCAACTAACTGTTTTCGCATCCGCGAAACTCTATTTTCACAAATAGCACCACCAAGGCTCTGCAATTAGCATTGACATTTTACTGATGATGCACTAGTTCCTTTGGGAACGCAAATAAGTCATTGTAAAATTTGTTCATGGTCACAATGAACCTTAAAAAGGCTCCTGTCAACTATAGACACAGCTAGGAATGTTGTACGTGGTTTGACCGCACCTATTGAGTGCTCAGGTATGGCAATGGAGACACATTTGCCATCAAGTTTGGTAGACATCATTGTCAAAAGTTCCAAGAAGTCCATTTCAGGTGAAGGGATTCCCATCGATGACAGTAGAATTTGCTGGTCCTATGAAATCCGTCGTGACGTCTGGTTTTAAAAGAACTAAGCCATGCTACCACTTGACCACATATGTGGTAGCCTGGTAGGGTTGGGTTTTTGAGCTTTGTTTCTTATTAAAAATGTTTGCAGGTATGATGCCAGCTAAGGTTGAGTTCACAAAGCTGAACCGAAAGACAAGGGAATATACTCCAAATCATCATACTGACTTCATGATAATCAGCAGCTAAAAGAGTCTATAAACAACCTCCAAAAAAAAAATCAAGGTATATACGTACTAATATACGCGTGTGTTCTTAAATAAGTGACAATGAACACGAAAATCATGTTGAGATTACAGCTCTAATTGACAATAACAAGAGTCATAAAAACAAGGGTGTTGTAGTTTCCATCTCACTTGATGTGCCTCTTTAGTCCTGCTCAAGGGTACAGCTCTTGTTTCTTAATTACTACTGAGGCTGTGCTTATAAATTGACTTCTTGTTGAAGACTCAAGTAAAAAAAAAGTCTTAAAAAGAAATTTAATTCCATCAGACTATTCTCTTCTCAGTCATGGCATTCAAGCTTGAATTGTTACTCACCCTAGGACTTGCATTTGCTACTCTCTATATTTCAGTTGCTGGGGATGCAGACATTCTTTCTGATTTCATAGTCCCGCCTAACCTCAACGGCATTGATGGCAACTTTTTCACCTTTACTGGCATGAGAGTTCTTCTTAATGGAGATTTTCCGACGACTTTCAAGGTTTTGAAAGCAAGCATGGCTGAATTCCCGGCTCTCAACGGTCAAAGTGTTTCTTATGCAGTTCTTGAGTACCCTGCTGGCTCTGTCAACCCACCTCACACACATCCTCGCGCAGCAGAGCTCTTGTTTCTCCTCAATGGAAACCTTGAAGTGGGGTTTGTGGACACCACCAACAAGCTCTATACTCAGACGCTCCAACAGGGTGACATGTTTGTGTTTCCTAAGGGACTTATTCACTACCAATACAACAATGATACAAAAAATGGTGCCATAGCAGTATCTGCATTTGGCAGTGCAAATGCTGGAACCGCGTCAATTCCTGGTTCTGTCTTCAACACCAGCATTGATAGTGGGATACTGGCTAAGTCCTTCAAAACTGATGTTTCCACCATTCAGAAAATCAAAGCTGGCTTCGGAGCCAAGGCCTGAGGTAGAAAGGCCTCACTGGTTAATAATATGTCTGCATTCCGTTCTTTGTTTTTAATGTATTCTTCGTCACGTGAATAATTTTTTTTTCTTCATAAGAATGAATAATTTCCTTTTGTCATTTAAAGATTTAAAAGAGAATCAATGAATAAACTCTTTTTTCCAGAATTTTATTTGAAGTGCTATTTTTATGAGGAAATTAAATTTGGTACAATGCCAGGAACAGCTCAGATTACTTCTAAATTAACACTGTTCTTGTCTTTTAAGTGCAAGAGATCAAAAATTTGAGTCTTATTGTCCCAATTGAAATCCGGAGACATGGGGCAATTCAGAGACTGTCAGATGATTTATTTATCAGTTTCTTTTTTGTTGTCTATATGATATGATATTGGAGTTATTGCTTACCATGAGATGATGTAAAAAAGCCATCTGGTTTCTTTAGTTGAGTAGTATATAAAATTTCTTACCTGCAAAAATGATGGCATGACAAGTTTTTTGGTTCGATTTTGAATCTTGTTCTTTCACAGAAATAATTTGAAGAATTTTTTTTGAGGTTGAAAGCATCCATAAAGTAGTTGAAAAGATTTAGGACACACACTTGGATCAGATCAACTGTAGCCAATATCAAACAGCCTTTCTTGAAAACATATTTTTTGACCCTACAAAATGAAGAATCTAATTTCAATTTTCTATATATTGATTTACTAGTAAAAGTGAATTTAAAAATTATTTGGCTTCTAAACTTGTGTCTCTCTCTTTGATCTTAATTTCTTTGTATGTGGTTTTTCACTGGTAAGAACTAAAGTGAAATGGTGATCACATTCTCTTACGAATGATATATATATATATATATAATTATTATTATGTTTAGTAATTAACTTGATGTTTTTCAAGAACTTTCTTGTTCTTCTTTTCTTTCTTTCTTTTTATTATAATTTATTTTTTATTTTTCCTAATTTTGGTTGGAGTTATATATTCTTACTTCATCTAGTGTTTCCATTGAGTTGCCATTGGCAAAATGTCATATTGATTGATTCATCAAGTCTTTGAAGGCTCAGTCTTCACAACACCGAGTTAACTTTCTCATTATTATTAAGCAATGGCTTATTAGGTTGCTGGTCTAACCTTTTAATATTGAGATATTTAAACTTACCTGATCAATGCTATAGAAAAACTCTATGCAGGTGAGGGCCGTGAGGCTAATGGACATGAGCATTATATGCACTAAAATGCAAAGAGAAGGCTCTGTGAGGAATTGCCAAACAAGCTTCTAAGCCAAAACCTAGAACAAGAAATGTATATGACTTATTCTATTTGTCAATGTTCTTGATTGTTTTCTTGGTTTTGAGCGTAAGAATTTGTTGTTAAAAATCATGCTTAAAGACAAAAATGCGACTAAATTTATTAGCAGGCCAGTACAAAGTACAAAACATATCTTGTAGACAAGCTTATTGATCAAAGTTGCATTTATAATTTTAATAGTAGAACTGGTATAAGAATAAATTCTGACATGAAAGTCTATGTAGCCACAACTGGCATTTTGAATATGATGACACTTATGCCGCTTTCGGAAGCATTGAGCCGATGCTTTGGAATTGGACAAAATTTAGTTCAAATTCTAGGCGAATTATCCTCAAATTCCAATTCCAATTTGAGGATGCCAAAAACGGCCTGGGCCGGGCACGATCCAGATTGCTAGATGCGGGTCGGGTAAGTGGCATTGGTCCAAACCAGATCTTCACCATCAGGCCCACGATCAGGGGGTCAATTAGGAAGCCCGATTTAATAGAAGAGGGAAATGGGCCCAAAACGAAGATAAGCCCGGAAGGCCAACTCAGCGTAAAGAGTGAGTTAGGAAGCTTCTAGAAGGTGGGCAGCAGTCTATAAATAGACCAAAAAGAGAGGGAAAAAGGGGAGAAAATTCTTGAAGTGTAAAGTTATTTTGTCGAAATAAATAGAGAAATTTCTTGCATCTTCAATGGCACTGTCTGTGGGAAACGATCAAGATTGATTTGCGTTTGATCAAGAATGATTGACGTCGATCAAGATTGATTCGTGGAGAAGAAGCTCAATCTCTGGAAGTTGGATCCGGATCGGCAAGATCATGATCTGTCTTACAGAGTCTTGGTTTTAGTTGATCTTTGGAGATTGGAGTTAGATCTACACAATCACGATCTGTTTAGTGAAGCTAGATTTGACGAGTTCATGGCAGGAAAGATTCAGATCCGGCCAAGGGAGATCGGAATTCAGCTAGTTCGAGGCCAGATCTAGTGCGTTCGTATTAACAAAACTCAGATCTAATCAGGAATTCACAGTTATGACTCTGCTCCGATCAGGAATGATGATAGGAAGTGAGAGTTCTAATCCACAGGAGAATGGCCAGTAGACGAAGCTTGATGAGTTGATGAGTATGATTGAAGCTCTGAGAAGAGAGAATGTGGAATTGCGAGCTGGAATGGAGCGTCGAGAAGCTCCGGGGATTCCACGACCACCTTTGGTAGGAGAAAGAGTTATGCAACCTGATGTTGCTCATCAAGGCGAACAAGAAGGAAACAATCACATGGATCTTCACCGCAAAGAGATTAGGCCAAGCGATTTACCGTCAAATGTTCGTCACGTGGAAAATCGAGAAGGATCTATTCATTTGGATCCGCATCGTGAGCGGATCAGGCAAGAAGAAGCCATGGCATTCGATCCATATCAAGAAAGGCTGAGGCGAAAAGAAGCTGTGGAGTATGGTCACCATAAGGCTACATCACTGTGGCAGAGGGAGTTCACGGAGCAAAGATCGTTCGATCCGCTTTACCGGCCTTCAATGGCTACGTACGACTACAGAAGTTCAGATAGGAGGTCGGTAGATCAGAGGATTCTCCCAAAGTTTCTGAGGGAGAATGAGGCCCTCCGTTCGGCAGCACGAATAATTGATTCACCATTTACAGATGAGATCCTGAATGCTTCGAATCCGAGAAATTTTTCCATACCAGTTTTTATTCTGTTCGATGGAACGACCGATCCGATCGATTATGTTTACCATATCTAATTGAAAATGGCTCTGAACATGGAGAATGATCCCATGATGTGCAAATGCTTTCCTATAAACCTAACCGGACCAGTGCTCAATTGGTTCAAAAACCTGACGAGAAGCTCGGTAGAGAGCTTCCGGAGTTTGTATGACCGGTTCATAAGCCAGTATTATGGGAATAAGCATCCGGCCAAAGATATTTCAAGTCTATTACGATGAAGTAGTATGAAGATGAGCATCTCCAAGCTTTTTTCACTAGATTCAACCTTGTTAAGAGCACAGTGATAAAATGTCATTCATCCACGGCAGTTTAAGTGTTCAAACTAGTAATGAACCGAGGGACACTGTTCCACACAAGTTTAGTGGTGAATACACCGAGCACTATGGACGAGTTGATCGAAAGAGCTGATGGTTTTGTGCACTTGGAAGAAGAAGAAGCAGCCAATGCCAAGAAGACATCCATAATATTGACGAAAGAGAAGTCCAAAACAAAGATCTGACAGAAACAAGCTACACCACAGCATCAGACCTCCTGGAAGGCGGAAAAGAGGTCAAGGGAGGAGGAGTCAGTCATTCCACTCAAGGTCACCTTGGCAAGATTGTACAAATAAAACAAAGATAAGTTTTGCTCTCCCCTACCAATCAGACAACCTCTCGAATAGAGAGATCAATCCAAACATTGTGCTTTCTATAGTGATTTTTGTCATCAAACTAATGAATACAGGAACTTAAGGAGGCAAGGGGGGTGTTCGCAGGATATGTCCAAGGGCTGGTAGTGGAACAGAACCGACCGGCTGAGCAAGTGAAAAGAAATCAGAAGCCAAGTTACCATAACGCCAGCCCATTCGGATTGTAAATACAATTCATGGCCAACCTGAGCAGACCGAAAAGTCAGAAGAGCTACTCCGAACGTGTCTCTGTCGAGCACAAATGAAGAGGAGAATAGGCAGTGTAAAT